AGTGACCTAAACAGAGGAGCTTAGAGTCTTACTTAGGTGCATCTCCACAGAAGTCCCGAAAGGCAGGCTGCACCATACAATTTCCTTATCGCACTGGAGAAGTATTAACTTAGCTTTCATTGTTTGCTCTTTTGCTTTAAATATTTTTCAAATTGTCATTTACTCAGCAAGGCCAGTGTTACTATTGCATGATATGCATTTATCTCATCCAAAATAATGCCTGTGGTATCACTCAGCACAGTGGGGTACTACAAAACCATCTGAATGTGCCCCCTGATTGAACTTGGGCCATTGTAGTGTCTTCAGTACCCCATGGTGTTTTTGGTTGTTGCTCTTTTATTGTTGACCCATGGCTGGCCTGTTTTCTAATTTCCAGAGAAACCATGTCCCAGTAATACATTATTGCAGATAACTGTCTAAAACCAGTGTATGATTCTGCCTTCCTCACTTTTACTGGGCATACCCACACACCAAAAAGCAGAACAAGTCTCATATGGTGTTCCTTGGCATGGCCAATTTACCTAATTCTGAAATATTCATCCCCTTGAGCAAGCCTGTGGGGAGGAATAGAATAACACAAATGTATTTTGTCTTTTCTTCAGATGAAAAATAAGTTTTTCTTTGTTTTTTATTTTTTATTTGTAGAGTCAACTAAGTACCCATCATTTATATTTAAATGTTATTCTTTTATTCTTTGAGGGTTTTTTTTTTTTTTTTGAAGTGATTGTTTTTGTAAACAGGGTGACTGGGCAAACACCTTTTGGGGGTCCTGGTTTTAGTATTTTATTAGTTATCTCAAGACTGAATATTAAAATAAACCCTTTGTAGGAAACTTTCATCCTGGGGCCAGCACTGTGGCACAGCAGGTAAAAGCCGCTGCCTGCAGTGCCGGCATCCCATATGGGCCCCTGCCCCCAAGTGGAAGACCCAGAGGAAGCTCCTGGCAGGCATTTGGGGGGTGAACCAGCAGATGGAAGACCTCTCTCTCTCTGTCTCTCCTTCTCTGTGTAACTCTTTCAAGTAAATTAAAATTAAAGCCGCTGCCAGGCAACACCACACAGAGTAACATATCTGTTTTGTCTCTGGTGGTGCAAGGTTTTTAAGCATGGCTCATAACTGGTAAGATTTTGTAGTGACAATCTGGCAGTATCCTTGCATAGCTATTTGGGTAAGGACATAAGTCAGTTAAAGGTCAACCTTTAGGTCAACCTATTAAAGGTCAACCATATTCAGAAATCAGAGTAACTCAGCCCAGCTAAATATTCATAAGAAACATGCCTATAACTCTAGACTTCTAGTCTAGGCAACAAAAATTAGAGGTGGGACTGAGCACTCCCTTGACTTTCATTCTCTGGCCTGATTTAACAAAAACCAGGAGGAAAAGAGAGCTGGGCATCAGAAGCAATGTAAAGATGGGTGGCAGGCCTATTACAGGCAGCTCTGTGCAGTGATCTGCCCTCAGGGAGACCCAGCAGGCCAGTCCACTGCAGTGGCTTTCAATGTGGTAAGCCTGGGCCTCAGCAGAAGTCAGCTTATAAAGAGCCCTGGGAGCTCTACCAAGAGTTGGATCACTAAAAATGGACCTGCCCTGGAGTCAAAGGACTTCAGGTCAGAGCCACAGATCTTATTGGCTCTAAGATGAAAAGCCCTTCACTTCGCCCAGTCTCCAAAGTGACCACCACTATTGAGAGAATGGCCAAGTAGGGTCAGTAACATTGCAGACAGAGCTGTAAATTTCCTGTTGGAGATGCCACCTGCCTTTACCTGGCCAGCTCTCCTCCCAGGCCAGGTAAGTAATAAAAGTCAACAGAGTGCCTTCCCCAAGGAGGTTCACACCTCCCTTAAAATGTACCCTATGTAAAAAGATAAATAGGTCTAGGTCCCTTAACTTACAAGGCCTAAAGCCCACCGGGTTATTATCAAGCCCCTTCTATCAGGTTCTCTTTGCCTCTCAATCGGAAAACTTATTTGTAACTTGGACAACACCTTTCTTGACTCCTCTAACAGCAACTCTGTCCTTTGTTCTGGACCCTGTCTGGCCCACTCCTGGGCCTCATTCCCTTGTAATTTTGTTGCTTTTTTTTTTTATTTTTACAGGCAGAGTGGACAGTGAGAGAGAGAGACAGAGAGAAAGGTCTTCCTTTGCCTTTGGTTCACCCTCCAGTGGCCGCCACGGCCAGCGTGCTGCGGCCGGTGCACTGCGCTGATCCGATGGCAGGAGCCAGGTACTTATCCTGATCTCCCATGGGGTGCAGGGCCCAAGCACTTGGGCCATCCTCCACTGCACTCCCGGGCCACAGCAGAGAGCTGGCCTGGAAGAGGGGCAACCGGGACAGAATCCGGCGCCCCGACCGGGACTAGAACCTGGTGTGCCGGCGCCGCAAGGCGGGGGATTAGCCTAGTGAGCCGCGGCGCCGGCTAATTTTGTTGCTTATTAAAGTCAGTGGTATACAGACATTCTGTACATGTCCTGTGGGGGCAGCAGTAGTATCTCTTAAACAGTATTACCGTAAGTAGTGTACTTCAAAATGTAAATTACCTTGTTTAAAACTGTGACTTTAGCATCTGTGTAATTAGTGCATATGGTATCTACTCTCCATTATCAAGATAATTCATTATTAGGTAAATTTGGCTAGTAGGGAGTACAGTTCTGTGAGCAGTGTTTCCTATTAAATATCAACTACTGTCTCAGTTACACATAGCAGCAGCAGCTCCGCCTTGCTCAGGAAAAGTAAATGCACACAGTTAAAAAGTTAAAGACATGCTGCAGATAGCTAGTCATTATTCTGTGTATAAAAGTAGAGCAGAAATTAAACGCTGAGGATTTCTGTAAATTCTTTGTTCTCTGTAGTAGATTGCCATTTATACTCCCAACATGTGTGTACTGATGATCCTCTCCCACACTAATGAGTGGCTTTTCTCCCGGTTTTGGCTGGAATCTGCTTTAGTCTCACCCTGTCTCTATACTATAGTGTCTGTTTAAGTGTTTACAGCTGGTGATGGAGCAAACCAAGGCCTTGGGCAACCAGGGGATCAACCAAATGCTACTACAGAAATGCGCTCAGCTCCCCACCCAGGAGACAGCAGCTTAAGACATCGCCCCATGGCAGCGCAGAGTGCCTCGTTGCCCCACGTCAGCAGGGGTGACTCTGAAGACGGATCGTCATCCCTCTGCACCTCTTGGACATCTGGGACTGATGTGGTGGGCTGTGCGCCACTCTGGGAAAGAATGCTGCTTTTACACCGATCACTCGGGCCTAATAAAAGATAACATGGCTGGCTAAGGTCAGGGAGGGGCTGGCAAAATGAAAAAGAGAACGGGAGGCCTCTCAGGGTGGTTTGAGTCTTGGTTCAATTGTTCTCCGTGGCAAGCCACCCTACTATCAGGACTCATAGGGCCCTTGTTCTCCTGATTTTAATTTTAACGTTTGGCTCTTACATTGTTAACAAACTTGTACAGTTATGAAACAGAGATTGGACACCGTTCAATTAATGGTCCAAGGGTCCCAATATAAACCCTTAAATGCTCATAAAACCTATAATATGTCAGTCCAAAACCCATGATTGGGTTTTTCAAACATGTGCAAAAACAAGAGGGAAATGAAGAACCAAAGTGACTCCATTTTAAAACAATAAAAAAAGCAGCCTCCGTTTCCCATAGCAGACCCGAGTCCTTGTAAAAGCAGTTATTCAGGCATTCCGGAGATATCAAAGCTTACCAGGGACAGCTAGGTAGGCCAAGGACAGCACAGTAGAGATTGCTAAACAAAGTAACTCCCTGCGCCCAGAGCTTCCGTGCTGTAAGCCCCCACTGTAACTCCCTGTACCCAAAGCTTCCATGCTGTTTGTAACTCTTTTTTCCTGCTGATGTAGTCCTTTTTCTCCTTTAAAAATTCTCCCAAACAAAGACTGGGGCCTCACTCCTTCCTCCGCTGCGCGGGTTGGTTGGATGGGGTCCCTGTCGCAGCTTGTACTCCCAAATAAACCTTGCTTTTGCAGTTCGGTGTGATTGACTCTCTGGGGTGTCTCTGCGGGGATCTAACGATCTGGCGACTCTCTGGAGTGTCTCTGCGGGGATCTAACGATCTGGGCACAACAAAACCAATAGTTAAGAATATTGTACTACTGAGTCCAGCACTGTGGTGTAGTGGGTAAAGCCACCACCTGCAGTGCTGGCATCCCATGTGGGCACCGGTTCAAGTGCTCCACTTCCGATCCAGCTCTCTGCTATGGCCTGGGAAAGCAATGGAAGATGGCCCAAGTCCTTGGGCACCTGCATCCACATGGGAGACCTGGAAGAAGCTCCTGAATCCTGGCTTTGGATCAGTGCAGCTCCAGCCATTGCAGCCATTTGGGGAGCAAACCAGCAGATAGAAGAACTCTCTCTCTCTCCCTCCTTCTCTCTCTCTCTCTCCTCTCTCTGCCTCTGCCTGTCTGCCGTAACTCTGCCTTTCAAATAAAGAAATACATGTTTTTTAAAAAGTTGTAGTTCTATAGTTTAATGATCTGTGATTACTTTCAAATTTACTATATATGGGTGAGATGGTCATCTTTCCATTTGATTATTGCTTGTAGTCCTTACCTATATTCCTGCTAGCCTAGGGTTTTTTTCTTTTTTTACTAGTTGAACTCTTTATTCATGGACCATTAAGCCCTTGAATATAATGTAAGTTAAAAATATGTTATCTCAAAAACTTGAGGAAAGGGAAGGGAAGGAGGAAATGTGGGAGGGAGATGGGAGAGAGATAAAGGGGATGTCGTTATACTCCTACAATTATATCTATGAACTATATTGAATCTGCTGAAAACTAAAAAAAGACATTCTGACCTTATTAAAAAATAAAATCCCTCTTAAAATATATGGCTTTAATTTTGTAGCCGTACAGTTAAGTCTGAGTTCAGAACCAGAACCTTTGTAGTTGAGTCAACCTCCACAACACCTAAAAGGAGCTGTGATTCTTATCAGAGCAACACTAAAAGAAATATAAAAGTTGACTTACAAATGTGATTTTCTAGAGAGTAGGACATCCGGCTTCCTGGTGAGGACCTTTGAAAAACGAGCAACAGAAGTGCAAGTTAAGAATGGGTGGTGTGGAGAAAGGCAAGAAGACTTTTGTTCAGAAATGTGCCCATGCCACACTGTGAAAAAGTGAGGCAAGCACGGGACTGGACCAAATCCCCAAGATCTAGTTGAGCAGGAGACAGGTCAGGCTGTTGGATTCTCCTACACAGATGCCAGCACGCACAAAGGCACTGCCTGGGGAGGGGACACTCTGACGGAGTACTTGGAGAATCTCAAGAAATAAATCCCTGGAACCAAAATGATCTTCACTGGCATTAAGAAGAATGAAAGGCAGACTTTATAGGTTATCTCAAAAAAGCTACTTAGAATACTTGGCCACTGCCTTCTTTATGACACAACAGGAATGTCTCGTGACTTGATATATATATATCATAACTTAATTCTCATGTACCAGAATTCAGGTGATGAATGGCTGACAGAATATTTTTGTTTGACAGTCCTGATTTAAGATTGCCTTGTGTGATCAAATAAATGACTGGGTTTGCAGTAATTCCAGTTCAGTAAATGCGATCATTGTTTTCTCTTTCTAAGGATATGATTAGACTTAATAATGTTCAACTTTTCACAAAAATTGTATGCCATCCCCAAATCTGTTGGGAGGCTGGATTTATATTTAAGTACTGGGGAAACTGCTTCATTGTCTCAGAACCAAGTAAGTAACTTCTGTTCTAGTTTACGTTCTTTACCTGCTAAGGCAAGAGCTGAAGCTAGGTAGCGATGTCTACTTCATATTTCTGGTCTTAACTACGACACTCAGAACTTCCTGTATCTAAACGTTTGCCTTTCACTTGAAGGGCATTTCAGTGTCTTCATATATCTATATGAATATTTAACACTTCTCACCTTTTATAGATGGTCTTCAAGGTCAGGTACTCTGAAAGTCAGCATGACCAGGTAGAGTAACAAGTTAAACTCCACTTTTGAATTCTTTACTACCTTAGATAAGTTATAATTCAGGGTTATCTATAAACAGCTATTTGGAAACACATAAAATTCAACTACGGTGTATTTGTGTTTGGCAATGGTGCTTTTGTCCATTCATTAAATGGACTAAGGTAGAGGAGATACACCATCAGCACAAAATTTCTAAATTATGTAATCACAAGACTTAATTTTAAAATTTACGGATCATGAAAAAATATTTTTCGGAGGAAGAACACGACTGTCACTTGCAGCCAAAAGATTAGCGTCACTTTTATTAATCTTTTTAAAGAATCGACTTACATTTGGTTCCTTCTATTAGTTTTCCTTTATTCTTACTAATATTTTCCTAATTCTGATATCTATTTATCTTATGAATTTTCACTCTTCTATTTATTCGCAGCTATACATTTTTATCTAACACTTCTTTACTGAAACTCGAATTTTTAAAATGGGTTTCTAGTCACACGTGATCGTTGCAAACGTGTATTTAGCAGGGACCTTTCCCACATACGATGAAAACAAGCCTAAGAATAAAGTCAACGCACAGAGCAAACGAAAATCACGTTATTAGGGGGGAAATCTCACCCGTGACGACTTAGACGTCTTAATTATATAAGCAAACAATTATGCTTTTCGTAAACTTTGAGTTTCTGCAGCTTCAAAACGAAGCCGAGCCGCAACGTTACCAGCGCGGGTAGCGTCGTTTCTGGCGCGAGTTGCGTCCTTACCAGCGCCAGCTGCGTAGTTACCTCGGGGGCAGCGGCCTCGCTCGCGCGAGCTGCGTCGTTACTACGGGAGCTGCGCCGTTACTACGGGAGCTGCGCCGTTACTACGGGAGCTGCGTCGTTACTACGGGAGCAGCTGCGTTACTTGCGCGAGCTGCGCTGTTACTACGGGAGCTGCGTCGTTACTACGCGAGCTGCGCCGTTACTACGGGAGCTGCGTCGTTACTACGGGAGCTGCGCCGTTACTTGCGCGAGCTGCGTCGTTCTTTGGCGCGAGCTGCGCCGTTATTTGGCGGGAGCAGCGCCGTTCCTTGCGCGAGCTGCGCCGTTACTACGCGAGCTGCGCCGTTACTATGGGAGCTGCGCCGTTATTTGGCGGGAACTGCTTCGTTAACTTGCGCGAGCTGCGCCGTTACTACGCGAGCTGCGCCGTTATTTGGCAGGAACTGCTTCGTTACTTGCGCGAGCTGCGCCGTTACTACGCGAGCTGCGTCGTTACTTGCGCGAGCTGCGCCGTTACTACGCGAGCTGCGTCGTTACTTGCGCGAGCTGCGCCGTTACTTGGCGAACGCGGCGGCAACGGCTGTGGCGAGCGGCCGGAGTTTAGTCAGCATCGGGGAAGCAAGCGCGCTGCCAGTCCCTCGCAGCAGCGGCCGCGTCGGGCCGCCTTCTCGTCGGGGCTGGAGGAAAACGTCGCTGTTTCCTTCAAAGTTGCATCAGTCTAGTCAAGGAGAAGAACCCCTCTCCATGCTGTCCCCGAGGGCACCTGCGGGTGCGGGCTGCCGGACACCGCCACCGGCCCGGACAGCTGGCGCGCCTGCCTCGGGGCTCCGCGCCTTTATTTAGCCCGGAATTCGCAAGGCGGCCTCGATCAGTGGTCCTTTTTGATGGCTGAAGAAAAGCGTGTCGTTGGGAGAAGAAAACGAAGGAGACGGCCCTGGCATCTCCTGTCCACAAGTCCAGGGCGCGAGCCGGGCCCTTTTCTTATCAAGAGGGCGGAGGTGTGAGAGGAGACGGCCTGGAGCGGGATCCGCGCATGCAGAACCGAGATGGCTGAGAAGAGAGACTCTGCCTCGGCTGGCGGCCAGAGCCCGCGCCGGGCCGGGCGCGGTTCCGGATGGTTCGCGGAGGGCAGACCCGGCGTCAGGACGGAGACCGGCGAGTGCGCAGGCGGCGCCCACCCCGCGGGTCCCGGCCGACGGCTCCGCCTGGAGACGAGAAGTGGGAAGAAGGCAGGCGGGAGCTGCGACTGACAAAAAGACAGCTTGGGGGTGATGCCGCGTCCCCACCTGGCGTGGGCCGCCTGGTTACCTGTGGGCTGTGTCCTCACTTGCTGGAATATCTATAATCACATCTGACCATTTTTGCCCTCTAATATTGCACTGAAAACTTTTTTTCCCCAAAATGTTAGGGTTTTTTTTTTTTATTTTTCTATTTTTTTAATGTGGATGAAGTCCTTGGGCTGTTTGCAGAAGTAAATTGATTTCTAGGCACCGAAAACTGATAACTAAGGCATGTTTTGGGTGGAGCGTGTTTTTAGATGGTTTGTGTTAGTTGAACACTGAATGAGATCCTTTCACAAGCTGTTTATCCCTTTAAATCCTTTTTCCCCCTTCCGACGTATGTGAGGGGATTTCAGTTGTGAGAAATGGAATTAAGAAGTTTTAAAATAAGGACTGTGGTTAAGATATGCTGGGGACACAGGAATCCTAGAGCGTCTGACTAAAGGGCACAGCTCTGCTCTCCATACCAGCTTCTGGCTCATAGCCTGGCAGGAAGCGATGATGGCTCAATACATATTCTAAAAAAAAAAAAAAAAAAAAAAGGGTTTCAAAATTATTTTATGCCAAAATAAACCCATTTTCTAAATGCAATTTTTGTATTTTATCGCCTGATTCCATTTTTCCACAAACTATTTGATGTACCCAATGCATATTTGAGAAAATATTCTCACAAAATTTTGATTCACATTCCTATCGTTTTCTTATAAAAATGTGTATATTAATGGAATAAAAATTACTGCATAATGTAAAAAAGCTTCATGGGAAAATGCATCTTAGGAAAAAACTATGAATGGATTTCCATATTTTTTCAGAGAAATAAACTCATATTTTCCATGAACTTTTTATAAGTCTCATATTCTTCTCAATGTCTTCACTCCTTATTGTCTTTAGACCTCTTGCTGGAGTCAGTATTCAGCTTGTTTCAGGGAGACAAAACAGTGTCTTCTAGGATGGGATAGTTTCACTCAAAAAAAAAAGTGCAAGGTTTTCACGGACAGGTATTGGCAGAAATCTGGAAAATGTGTGCAGAAATGGATTCCCAAGGTTACAGAACAGACCTTGTGTTAGCTCAGTTTATTGGTATGGATGGCCTTTGTGGGGATTTAGGATTCAGTGCATTTGAGTATCTGGGAGGGGCTCTAATAATTTTAGAGTGGGGGCAGGTGTTTGGTACAGTGGTTAAGACGCCACTTGGGGGCTGGGGTTGTGGTGCAACAGGTTGAGCCACTGTCTGTTGCCAGCATCCCTTATGGGCGCCCGTTTTTATCCTGGCTGCTCTGTTTCCTATCCAACTCTCTGCTATTGTACCTGGGAAAGAAGTGGAGGATGGCCCAAGTGCTTGGGGCCCTGCCTTCTCCGTGGGAGACCTGGATGGAGTTCCTGGCTCCTGGTTTGGCCTGGCCCAGTCCTGGCCATTGTGGCCATTTGGGGAGTGAACCAGCAAATGGAAGATTCATTCTCTCTCCCTCTTCCTCTCTCCTTCTCTGTACCTCTGCCTTTCAAATAAATAAAATCTTTAGGAAATAAAGAACTGAAAGGTTACACTTGGGACACTCGCATCCCACATTGGAATACCCGGATTCAAGTCCTGGCTTCACTCCTAGTTCTAGCTTCCTGCTATTGTGTACCCTTGAAAGCAGCAATTGACGGCTCAAGTAATTGGGTTCTTCCCATCCTTTGTGTGATGTGATCTGCACTCCTAGCTCCAGCCTGGCTCAGCCCTAACTGTTGCAAGCATTCAGGGAGTAAACCAGCAGACAGGAGATAATTCTCTTTCTCTGCTTTGCTTTCAAATAAGTAAAATGATTGCTTAGTTAGGTCTCTGCCTGTCTTTCAAATAAATAAGTAAAATGATTGCTTAGGTAGGTAAAACTTGGATTCCTTGGTAGTCTGTATTCAATAAAATGACGATGCCAAACCTTCCTAGTCTAATGAGGAGGAAGAAATCTAAAGACAAAGGTAAAGAGGATCGTTAGGGTAGACAGAAGTCTCAATCATGCACTACTACCATGAGAGGGCCCAAAGGACAGTCCCTTCACTTTTCATGTGAACTCAGCTGTCACTCTGCTGGCACCATTGTGTACTTTATAGTCAACAGAACACAGCTGGCACCTGGCTGAGAGAAGACTTCCTTGCTACAGCCAAGTCAATAACCAGAGTAACTCTGCAGACCTGGGTTTCACACATGACTCCATGAGAGCTGATGGAATCTTTGTGCATGACAGGTTACATCCCATAGAAAAAGGGTGGAGAACATGGATTTTCTCTCACCAGCTTGTTTGCTGGTGGGGAGCAATCCACACACTTCTGGGGTCACAGCCATGCTGTGTGTTGTGAGTAGATAGTAGGAGAAACAATTGGAGTTGGCCTTTCCTTCTCTGTCCTCAAAGTGGGAGAGAAGCTGTGATACTCCACTGTGGCAACTCCAGCTTTCTGGTCACTAGACCTTAAGTTTCTCTTATATGTTAAATAATCCGTAAGTAGGTTACCATCCTTATTCCTGGGATCAGTGTGAATAATTAACCATGATCAAAGGTCCCTGTAGCTCAAAACATTGATTGACACTCCATCCCCTTTGCCTGTATCTGTACCTACTTTGATTTTGGAGTTACAATGGACTCTCCTCCCCCACATTCCTTTGAAATCAGGGGCCCCTCTCAATTGCATTTCCCATTGCCGTTTCTCTGCAGAGGAGCGCTATATTCTTTTCACCCTGCCTTGCTGGGGTGCTGATATTGCCACTCAGATTTCTCGGTGCCATATGGTGGTAAATAAAATGTGCCCGGGGTTCTTGGAGCTCCAGCATAAAGCACGAGGTCCCAAGACAGAAGACTGCATGATGTAAAGAACAGCTTCGGCACCTCCTTCAGAAATATTTTACTCCTCACATACTGTGAGAATTAGATCTGGAGTCATTTGAGTACCTGTACTGATCTGAAAAGATCATAAAACTTTGATCTCCACAGGAGGGAAAATGGTGGCAGCCCAGACTAGACCCCCTGATTAAGCCCCAAGATGCCAGGAAGACTGAAGGAATGCACACATCAAAAGGGACAAAGCCTGAAACATGGAGCCCTTTCTGGACCGCCTCAGATTCACCTGGACAGAGACTTCTCATCCTAGGAAAGGCACATTTGCACTCCAGAAGGTAAGGTTAAGGAACCAGGACCATGTCCAGTCTCAAAGGAGTAAGGTTCGGAAGAGGATAAGGCATGGCTGGCTCTAATGTTTTTTAAAGACTATATGTTTAGGGGCAAAACTAGATGAGCAGGTAAGGAAACTGTTCAGCTTATTGCATTGGAACACATCAAGGATAGGTCATCAGGAGGCTGAGGGCATGTACCGCAGTGAAGGTCAGGATCACCTGCCCAGTTTCCATGTATGAAAGCTCAAACCCACCCAGGGGAAGAGAGTGCAGTCTCCATGACAAGTACCTTGAAACACCCTGGCAGATAGTCACGGTCATGATTCATTTGTGGCTCCCACAGTGGGGCCTAAGGACTCAGGGAGCCATCCCTAGGGGAAAGGTAGACCTAGAGGAGAGATTTGGAGGCAACTGGAACAGGATTTGAACCAACCCTGATACCCCGAGACCTGAAGCATCACCTTGACTCTGTCATCCTGTTAGTGCAGGGCACGTGGCCACCAGGTAACAAACAGTATCTTGCCTGTGGTCTGGTGGTACACAGGGGACTGAGTAGGTCCACAGACAAATCAGCAATCGCGTCATTAGCCCCCAGTGAATAATTAGGGGATTGCCACACCCTCACATCGTGTCGCCACACCTCCACATTCTAGAGTTGCCACACCCTCATGGGTTGTTGGCCTGTAGGATGAGCGCTTTCAGTGGGGAAAACCAGGTGGAATTTTCCGAGATTGCCCCCATCATTCAGCTAAAAGAACAAATAAATTACAAGTTTATATATAGTAGTCCTTCAGTACCTGCAAGGGATTAGTTTCAAGACACCCCTCAGATACCCAAATCCTGAGATGCTCAAGTCTCTTCTACAGAACAATGTAGTATTTGCATAAAACCCATGTAGACTTTAAATTCTGTCTAGGCAACTTAAATCTCTGTGTGACTTGTAACACTTCATGCAATGGAAACAAATAGCTGTTATCCTGTACTGTTCAGGAAATAATGACAGAGAAAGTAGTCTGTACAGGTCCAGAACAGATACAATTTTTTTCCTGAATATTTTCCATGGTTTCCTGAATATTTTCCATATCATCCATGGTTGATCTGATGAATGTGCAACCCCACAATACTGAGGTTTGACAATACTGTGAGGGACCTTCAAAAGGTTTATGGAAAATGCCCATTAGGAAAAAAATACGTGGACTTCAAATGTTTTTGCACCAAAATAAACACCTGTTTGTCGCTCCCCATCTTCGTGGAGGAACGACACAGGACCCTGCGCTGTTCTTCTGTCTGCTCGGCCCTCCCCGGGTTTGCTGCTGGTCCTTCCCAGGTTGGCTGCTGGTCCTTCCCGGGTTGGCTACCATCCCTTCCACCTCCGTGGAAGGGCGGTTCCCCCTGCCACATTCCCCACTTCCGCGGGGGAGCGGCACACCGCCGGCCGGCTCTCTCGGGGGCTGCACAGGTGTTCCCCTTAGATGTTCCTCGTGCATGCCGTCTCTCTCCTCCTTTATAGTCCTCCTCCGCCAATCCTAACTCGGCTGCCCACACGCCGAGTACGCTGCTCTGCTCCAATCAGGAGCAGGTCCTGCAGCTTGTCAAGTTGGTGAGAGGCAGCTGGGTAGAAGCTGTTGCCTCCTCTCCCAGCGCCATATTGTGGGAGAGCAGATGCATAGAATAAGTCTTAATTCCAGTAACTTAGTCTAGTCCGAGTTGCTCCCAGTTGCTCCCCACACTGTTAATTCCATTTTTCCACAAACTTTTTGTTTTATTATTTTTTCTTTTCTTTTTTTTTTTTATTTTTGACAGGCAGAATGGACAGTGAGAGAGAGAGACAGAGAGAAAGGTCTTCCTTTACCATTGGTTCACCCTCAATGGCCATCGCGGCCGGCACGCTGCCAGGAGCCAGGCGCCTCTCCTGGTCTCCCATGCGGGTGCAGGCCCCAAGGACCTGGGCCATCCTCCACTGCACTCCTGGGCCACAGCAGAGAGCTGGCCTGGAAGAGGGGCAGCTGGGACAGAATCCGGCGCCCCGACCGGGACTAGAACCCGGTGTTCTAGGCAGAGGATTAGCCTATTGAGCCGCGGCACTGGCCTGCTTTATTATTTTTTAATTTGAAAAAGGCAGACGGAAAAACAAACGACAGAAAGCTCCGTCTCTGTTGGTTCACTCCCCAGAGGCCTGCAATGGCCCACACTGGGCCAGGTCTGAGCCAGGACTCAACTGGGCCTCCCACATGAGTGGCAGAACTTCTTAAACCTTCCCTTGCTGCCTTCTGGGATGCACACCTGACGGAAACTGGAATCAGAAATGGGGAACGACTCTTTAAAGTACCGTCAGATATATTTCATTCTGGCAGAGGAATGGAGTATGGGAGGATGAAGGAGGGGATTACAGAATGCAGAATGGGAGATGGGAGAGATGCCCAAAATGAGTGCTATTCTTATGACTCCAAGAGGTGGTAGGCTGGTGCCCCTCATCGTATCCCCGTTTAATGAAACTGTCCAGCTCCTGAAGAATCTGAGTCCTGGCGGAGAACAGAAAACTACAGCAACTCAACCAAGTAGCAGGTGGACATAGGGCCAGGTGGGGAACACTTCCTGGAGAGAGTCTCACAGTCTCAGGTTCATGATACACAGCCATCCATTGTGCAAATGGGTCCCTTTCTATCCCTATCAGAGAAGAGAATCAGAAATAGTTTTCAAAAATACTTTTTTAAATTACAGTTCACAGTACAGTCCGTGTTTTGCCCTGGAGCTATGCTAACTCTTGTGGCTGTATTATAATGTAGTCTGAAGTCTGAAGAGATTGGAACACTTGGGACATCACACAGAACATCACATTGACTCACTAAACTCTATAACCCTTCCCAGGGATCACTTACTGTCATGAAATCAGTGACAGTACCATGGGCAGATGGTACGTGACCACGTGACCATGCGGCCTGCTGACCCTACCATATACATCACTGCCGAGCTGCTGGCCTGATGGAATGTGGGGGCCTGCTCCTGGGCCACAGTCAGTCCTCCAGCTCCAGGATGGCATTCGGTAGGGAAAGGCACGTCCTCCAACATGGGGAACGTGCTTCAGCCTTCACGACCTCACAGTGTTTTTATTCTGTTGAATCAAGAACAAGGTAGGCTTTGACCGTGATCTGAAATGACCACCCCGTAAAAGAGAACTCGTTTATTAACTGTAACACAAATTATTGTAATTCACAAGTTAACCTGAAGATGGTGCAATAGTATTGTTTTATTCTGCTTGCTTTTTTTTTTTTTCTTTTTCTTTTTCTTTTTGATACCTCCCTACCACTGCTGGTCAGTATCCATCCATCTGGTTGCTACCACTCACGAGGCAACATTCACTGATCCCCAAAATATTTGGAATTCTTTTTACTAAGACAGTTTGAATATGTCTTATGTGAAGTGCTTGGAGCCTGAAGAATTTGGTTTTGGAAAATTTGCATATAAACAATGAGATATATTGGGGATGGGGCCCTAATCTGAACAAGAAATTAATTTGTTTATTTTTTTTTTTATTTGAAAGTCAGAATTACAAAATAGAGGCAGGGAGAGAAAGAGATCTTTTTTTTTTTTTTTTTTTTTTTTGGAGAGAGATTTTCTATCCACTAGTACACTCCCCAAATGGCTCCAACCTGCAACAGTCAGCACTGGGCCAGGCCGAAGCCAGGAGGCAGAAGCTTCATGTGGGTCTTCCACGTGGATGCAGGGGCTGAAGAACTTAGGCCATCTTCTACTTCTTTCCCAGGCACATTAGCAGTGAGCTGGATCAGAGGTGGAGCAGCCAGGACTCAAACTGATGCCCATATGGGATACTACAGCACCAGCCCCTCATTTGTGTTCTTATCACCTTATACATAGCCTGAAGGTAACTTTATACAATATTTTTAATAATTTTGTGCTTGAAACAAATTTTCCTGGTGTAGAGTTTTCTACTTGCAGCATCATGTTGGCACTGAAAAAGTTTCAGAATTTGGAGCATTTCAGATTTTTGGATTAAGTATGCTTCATTTGCAATGTCTGCTTTGCAACTTTCTTACAAAAATAATTTTAAAAATTAGCTGCTATATGTTTGCCAATAAAATAGAACATATTAATAAGTAATGTCATTGTAGCAATGTTAAATGTCTTATAGTAAATGTCTAGGAGATTGAAAGAATCTGTCTTTGCCCTCAGGAGATCACATGCTCAAGTATTCAGAGCTGACACATCATGATGTCCACAACTTGTTCTCAAATCAGTCAGAGAAAGAAAAGCATAGATATGGACATAAATGTAGATATATGCATGTATCTGCAGAGAAGAGACAAGAAGAGAAGAAACCAGACTGGCAAATTGTTAACCAATGGTGAACCTGAGTAAAGGTATGTGAGTGTTTATTACATCACTCTTTCAACTATTCTGTCTAGTTTAAACTTTTCTTCAAATAAAAGATTACGAAAAAAAAATGTAAACCAATCAAATATCAAGACAACATACTGGGAAAAATATTTCAATTCTCCTTCTAGAAAAAAAGTCAATAGTTTTCCTAAAATATAATTTTTTAAAGAGGAAGTTTTCTCCTCCTTTCAGAGAAAGGTAGCTCCTTCTTTTTTTTAAAATTTATTTATTTATTTGAAAGTTAGAGCTACACAGAGAGAGGAGAGGCAGAGAGAGAGAGAGAGAGAGAGAGAGAGAGGTCTTCCATCCGATGGTTCACTCTCCAATTGGCTGCAATGGCTAGAGCTGCGCCGACCCGAAGCCAGGAGCCAGGAGCTTCTTCCAGGTCTCCCACGTGGGGTCAGGGGCCCAAGAATTTGGGCCATCTTCTACTGCTTTCCCAGGCCATAGCAGAGAGCTGGATCGGAAGTGGAACAGCCAGGTCTTGAACTGGCACCCATATGGGAAGCCGGCGCTTCAGGCAAGGGCGTTAACCTGCTGCGCCACAGTGCCAGCCCCACTAAAATATAATTTCTAAAATCAGTAAGAGAAAGATAAACTCAGTAGAAATATGGGTAAAGGACATGAATAGTTCACATGAAAGGAAATGGAAATGTCACTTGAACTTATAAAACACTCAATGTCAGTTATCGTCACAGAAATATAAATTAAAACTACATGATGGGGGGCCGGGCTGTGGCTCACTTGGTTAATCCTCTGCCTTGCAGCGCTGGCATCCCATATGGGTGCCGGGTTCTAGTCCCGGTTGCCCCTCTTCCAGTCCAGCTCTCTGCTGTGGCCCGGGAGGACAGTGGTGCTTGGGCCCTGCACCCACATGGGAGACCAGGAGAAGCACCTGGCTCCTGGCATCGGATCGACTCAGCGCTGGCCGTGGTGGCCATTTGGGGGATGAACCAATGGAAGGAAGGCTTCTCTCTGTCTCTCTCTCTCTCACTGTCTATAACTCTACCTGTCAAAAAAAAAAAGACTGGGATGAAGTTCCTGGCTCCTGATTTTGGCCTGGCCCGGCCCTGGCCATTGCGGCCATTTAGAGGGTAGACCAAGGAATGAAGATGTCTCTCTCTCTCTCTCTCTCTCTCTCTCTCTCTCTAACTGCCTTTTAAGCAAATGAATAAATCTTTAAAAAAAAGAAAAAACACCTTGTTGGGGAACATATATTGGAATAATGTCCAAGAAAGGCAACAAGGCAGTATCTATATCAAAATTACTAGTGCACACACCCTATGGCCTCAAAGTACCCTATATATGTGTAAAATTATATGTGTAAAGGCTATTTAACCCAACTGTTCACCAACAGGATAATAAGAGGGTACTTTAAAAGGTTTGTGGGAAAGTAGAATTAAAAGAAAAATTTTTATGTATTGCAAAAAATTTTTTAAATCCATACATACATTTTTCATAATACGCATTGTGGCTGAACTTTTTAAAGATCCCTCAAATGCATCGGTGATGCAGTGATATGCTGATGCTAAGGGGTGTCCTTATAAAGGAAAAAAGAATAAAAAGCTCCACTTACACTCACACAAAAATAGCTTTGAGATACCGTGAACGAGAAAGGCAAATGTATTAGCCCACTGTTCTTTATTTATTTATTTATTTTTTGACAGGCAGAGTGGATAGTGAGAGAGAGAGACAGAGAGAAAGGTCTTCCTTTTGCCGTTGGTTCACCCTCCAATGGCCGCCACGACTGGAGTGCTGCGACCGGTGCACCGCGCTGATCCGAAGCCAGGAGCCAGGTGCTTATCCTGGTCTCCCATGGGGTGCAGGGCCCAAGGACTTGGGCCATCCTCCACTGCCTTCCCGGGCCACAGCAGAGAGCTGGCCTGGAAGAGGGGCAACCAGGACAAAATCCGGCGCCCTGACCGGGACTAGAACCTGGTGTGCCGGCGCCACAAGGTGGAGGATTAGCCTAGTGAGCCGCAGCGCCGGCCAGCAGCTGTTCTTTATTAAAACAAAATAGCTAAGCCAGGCTACTTCATAAAGAAGAAAAGCTTGTCTGACTCACAGCTTTGGAGGCTAAAATTCCCAGATTGAGTGGTCCCATTGATGTGGCCTCCAGTGAGGGCCTGACAGAGGATGATGACCCACTGACAGGAGTGTCAGTGGGAGGAAGAGATCACAGCTCAAAACGTGAAGCCAGAGAGTGATTCAGTGATTTATAACAATTTCCTCTCAAGGAAACTCCAGGAGACCAGGGAGACCAGCCATTCCTTCTGAGAGCAGAGTTCCCAGTGACCCGAGGCCCTCTCCTCATTTTTTTTTAAATATTTATTTATTTATTTGAAAGAGTTACAGAGAGGCAGAGGCAGAGAGGGAGACAGAGAAGTACGTCTTCTAACCGCTGGTTCACTCCCCAGATGGCCACAATGGCTGGAGCTGCACCAATCCAAAGCCAGGAGCTAGGAGCCAAGAGCTCTCTCTGGGTCTCCCATGCGGGTGCAGGGGCCCAAGGACTTGAGCCACCTTCCACTGCTTTCCCAGGCCATAGCAGAGAGCTGTACTTGAACCAGCGCCCATATGGGATGCTGGCACTGCAGGCGGTGGTCTTACCCGCTATGCTACAGCGCCAGCCTTGGCCCTCTCCTCTTAAAGCTTCCACTCCACATCTATTTTGTAAAATAATTTGATAGTTTCTTACAAAACTAAATAGACTATTACCATACAACCTAGCAATTATATTTCTTGAATAAACTTTGAGCTATAAATTCAATTAATTGAATAACTTGCTTAATCAAACTAATTGAAACTATATCCACATGAAATCTTGTACACATATATTTATAGCAGCCAAACCTTGGCAGCCACCAACATATCCTTTAGTAAATAAATAAAAATAAACAAACTGTAGCACATCAGACAGTGGAGAATCATTCAGTGCTAAAAAAAAAAAAAAAAAAGAAAAAAAAATGAGCCATCGGGCCTGGCAAGATATGGAGGAATCTGAAATGCATCTGACTAAGTTTAGGAAGCCAATCTGAAAAGTCTGCATGTTCTGGGAAGGTGGACGCACGGGCCCAGTAAAAAGGTCTGTAGTTGTCAGGGGTTGAAGGGAAGAAGGGGTGAGTAGGCAGGGCACACAAGTTGCTTAGGGGCTGGCGCCGCGGCTCAACAGGCTAATCCTCTGCCTTGCGGTGCCGGCACACCGGGTTCTAGACCCAGTCAGGGCGCCGAGTTCTGTCCCCGTTGCCCCTCTTCCAGGCCAGCTAGGGCAGTGGAGGATGGCCCAAGTGCTTGGGCCCTGCACCCCATGGGAGACCAGGAGAAGCACCTGGCTCCTGCCTTCGGATCAGCGCGTTGTGACGGTCGCAGCGCGCTGGCCACGGCGGCCATTGGAGGGCGAACCAACGGCAAAGGAAGACCTTTCTCTCTGTCTGTCTCTCTCACTGTCCACTCTGCCTGTCAAAAAAAAAAAAAAAAAAAGTTGCTTAGGGCAGTGAAATGACTCGGCATAATACTGTAATGTGAGACACCTGTCATGTATTTGTCAAAGCCTATAGGATACAGAACACCAAGAATGAGCCTTGATGGGAATTAGGGATTCTAGGTGGCAATGATGCTTCAATGTTGGTTTATTGATTGAAACAAGTGTGTCACCCTGGTGGGAGGTATTCATAGTGGGGGTCCGGGAGGTGGCAGGAAGGGGAACACTCTGTGCTTTCCACTCCATCAAAGTGCTCAAAAAGATAAAACTCTTTCACCTGTTTTATATGTCATAAATACTTTGCTGTCATTCATCTCTTAAAATTGTATATTGTGTCTCTTATTGTACAGAATTTTGTGTGAGCCAATCAATCTTTTCTCTTAGGGCTGCTGTGAATTTTCTTTTCTACTTGGGAAAATCTTATCCAAGCCAAGATCATAAAACTATTCCAGTATATATTTTCCAATACTGATACCGTTTTGGGAAAAGATGTCTAGCTAGCTAGAATTCAACTTTTTTTTCCACAAAATGGGTTTTTATTGTAGTCATAAAATGCAATTTTCAGTGCCACAGAAAATTGTGAAGTAGGAGCAAACAACTATTGGGTGGATTTCTTTTATTTTTTTAAATATTTATTTATTTTTTTATTTGAAAGGCAGACTTACAGAGGGTGGGATTGGGGGGTTGAAGAGAGAGATCTTCCATCTACTGGTTCACTCCCCAAATGGCCTCAATGGCCAAAGTGGGGCTGATCCCCAGAGCCAGGAGCCAGGAGCTTCTTCCGGGTCTCCCACATGGGTGAAGGGGCCCAAGCCCTTTGGCCAACCTCAGCAGCTTTCCCAGGTGAATTAGCAGGGAGCTGGATTGGAAGTGGAGCAGCCAGGACTCAAACCCAGCTCCCATATGGGATGCTGGCACTGCAGGTGGCACAGCACTGGCTCTACTGAATGGATTTCTTAAAAAAAAAAAAATGGCATGAAATTTGTAACAGATTTCTTTGGGAGAAAAATAAAGTTAATTGAAAGTTTTTAAAAAAAAGAAACATGGTGAGTTCTCAGAAATGTGTTGTGTAGGTTACTGAACAGTGGAGAGGGCTAAAGGAAAAGGGAGGAGACTGAGGAGTCATAAGATGCATAGACATCGCAGAATTGCTTTTAAATCTCTAGTCTCTGATGCTCCTTCTCTCAGGTAAGATCCCAACAGAGTTCATCAAAAACTGAAAGGATTATGCTACCACATACTCAAAGAATACATCTGTGGATTTAGTAAACTTTGAGAAAAGTGGGATGGGATGGACTCAGACTTATTCTCAGCTCCTTACTGAGAGGTTTGGTGTCTGTGCCAACAGTTGAGGAATCAGCTGGCTACCTGGAGATGAGTTATAACAACCAGCACGACACCTAAAGCCCCCCTGCAACGCCTCTGCTCAGTAGGAGAAGCCTGCTGTGGCGGCCGGGGAAGCTGTGCCTCTTCCCCACCTCTCCACCAGCGTCTCCTCTTCTGCTTGGTAATGCGATGTGGCTTGAGAACACTCTCTGTTTTGGCTGTGCAGTCCAGAAGTCAGGACTTCGGAAAGCACTAGGTGTTGTGCACTGGCTTTCCTCACTCCTAGAGT